GTTACGTGACCTTTGAGGTCCCTTCCAGCTCCAATCCTACGAATCCCAACTGAGCTACTTTCATAGATAGTGTGACCTTGGACAAGTTGCTTCTCCTCTATGCCTCTGTTTCCTCTTCTCTAGAAGGAGGAAGTTCAAATAGCTGACTTCTAAGAACCCTTACAGCTTTGGATCTGTGGTCTTGTGACCTCTATATCAGTCATTTTCAGTAACGTCTGACTCTTCGTGACTCCATTTGGAGTTTTCTTGGCAAAGATACTAGAGTGGTTTGCCATTTCCCTCTCCAGATCGTTTGACAGATAAGAAAACTGAGACAACTAGGGTAAAGTGACTTGCCCAGGGTTACATGGCTAGAAAGTGTCTGAGGCTGGATTTGAGCTCATGAAGGGGAGTCCTGACTCTAGGCCTGACGTTCTACCCACTGGGCCACATAGCTGCCCCTGTGACCTTTAAGGCTCCTTCTAATTCTAAGTGCTAGGATGTAAAGGGTTCCCACCAAGGTCACAGAGTGCTGGATGCTCATCATAACCAAGCTCCCTAGGCCAGCTGGAGAATGTAGGGGGCATGTGGAATGTGGGCAGTGGTTTCCAGCATGCCAAGTGTGGAATACATTGAAGATCATTCGAAAGTCCTTGAAAGAGTGACTTTATTGAACAGTATTGAGAGAGGCAGCAGGATGAACTTGGGGTCACAGGACCTGAGTTCCAGTCATGACTCAGTCATTTACTACCTACGTGACCTTGAACAAGTCACATAACTGCTCTGTGCCTCAGTTTCCCTATCTATAAAATGAGGAGATTGGATTTGATGAATCACCTCATTAGTTCTAGCTCTATAATGCTATTATTTGTGTCTCCTGTTCAATTCAATCTGCTTTGCTGACACAAGAAGAGAAATTGGGTTGGAGTGGGGGTGGGGTTGGTGAATTTAGTCTTACCTAAGGCCTTCTCTCATTAGAATGTAAGCCCTTAACAGGCCCAACTCTCTTGCTTGCTTATATTTGTATCCCTGGCACTTAGCACAGTGGCTGGCACTTAATAAATGCTTTACTTGTCTGTCTCTTCTGCCCCTCAGTATGGATCTCAGGATCATGGCTCTTGAGTATAAAGGGACTTCCAAAGCCAGCTAGTACAACCTCCAAGGTCACCCAGGTAATAAGTGTCAGAGACCTGAACTACAACTCTTCCCACAGGCCAAATTTTTTTCTCTAAGAGAATTACAGAACCTTAGGGTCAAAAGGGAAATCAGAGGGGAAGAGGCTCTTCAACAATGTTGGCAAGGTGGGCCTCCTCCACTGGAAGGAATGCAGCCCGCCTGGACGTCCTTGGTTGGAGAAATGGCTCCCTAGTCATTTCTCTAGTAGAAAGCTCCCGTTCGTGAGGAAGTGTTCCCTTACATCTGCCTTCCTGGAGTCACCCACTGCTCCTGATTCAGCCCTTTGGGATCAAGCAGAACAAAGCTAATCCCTTTTCCAAAGGATAGCTCATCAAAGATTGGAAGATGACTATGAAGTCTCCTCTTCTGGCTCTCCCTCCAAGTTTTGTTCAAGCATCTCTAGGCTAAACACCCCCCCACTCCTTCAGATGATGCTCAGATGGCCTGTCCACCAGTGCTCTCCCCATGGAGAACGGTTTCCTACAGGAGGGAGGCTGGGAGGAGACATAAAAACTGGGGAATAACATTGAAGAGGCACAACATTAAGGGGCAGGGGATCATAGCAGCCCCATAGAAAGAGAAGGTGAAAGAGGCAGGGAGAGGACCGGGAGGACTGGAGGAGTCAGAGACCGAAAGTGATGGTCATCTCTAGTGTGAGAAAAGATCGACTCTTGTCATAGAAGATGGAAGTCTATGGTTTTATCAAAGGGAGAGAATACAGGACAACTAACTACAGAACAAGAGAAAGGGCTGGGAGGCACCTTAGAACAGAGAATGCCAGAGGTGGGAGGGATCTTAGAGCACAGGATGTCAGGGCTGGGACGGGCCTAAGAACACACAGCGTCAGAGCTGGGAGGGGACACAGAATGTGAAAAGAATCTTAGAAATCATTTTGTTCAGCCTCTACATTTTACAAAAGAGAAAACCGAAGCTCAGAGAGAGGATGCGATTGATTGACATTTGCATAGCAATTAGTTGCAGAGCTGGGCCCAGAACCCAGGTCTCTTGACTTTGGGCTGAAGGCTCTTGGTCAGTGGGTGTTTAAACTGACTTCCCCAGAAGCTGGAATACTGCTGGGCCTTCAGGGGATGGGCATGTCTGTCCACATGTCATTACAGGGTGCTAGGACACTGGAGCAGCTGGGCCATCTCAGGCCCTGCTAGAGAATAATGGAAACATGTCCTATCCTGTCCTATCTGTCCCTTTGGACCGCTTCCACTTGGTCTGGTGTCACGTGTCAATGGCCCTTGGGCATTAGCTAGGAGGCTACGGAGGCAAAGCTGGGAAACCGGGATTGATGGTATGCAGCCTGGATTCCAGTGATGAGGTAGAACTCCTCCCCTCTAAAGGAAAATGACTTGGGCGGGGCTTTAAACCCTGAGTGGAAAGCTCCTATAAAGTCTCCTGTAGAGTGACTCCCTCCTGGGCCCCATATGGTTGAGCTGTTTCTACCTAAGGCTTTGGTTGTGTGGCAGGGGCTGATTCTGGGACCTAGTGGCTGCAATCTTTGCTGGAGGAGGGGAGGTGTTCAGGGAAGAAGGCAAGAGGGACTCACAGGCAGAGGACTGTTTGAGCTCTGCTCATGCCAGGGAATCCAGGCAGGCTTTGGCCCCCAGCCTGACTGGGCTTTTGATCAGTTCGTTGACAATGGAGGGAAATCTGATCCACCTCATGGGGGTGCTGGGAGAGATAAGTCTGGCAAAGGCGAGGCCTCCTGAGATGGGGACAGGCCCACACCTGCCAAGTCATAGTGGGAGTACCCAGGCAGACACAGGGAAACCCCATCTGAGAGGCCAAATCTCTTGAGTTATCCAGTGTCCTGCTCTCCCTGCTCTGGGAATGTGGGTATCTCGCTGGAGGTTACAGGAAGAAAGGCTAGCACCTGACCCCACCCTGGATCCCACCACACCCCAATGCCACAGGTGTTCCCTGCTAGGTCTACCAGCCTATACATACCTGCTTACCTGCTCACTTTTTGTCCCAAGCATGAAGAGGTAGCTCTTAGGAAAGAGACTATTTGGGAAAAATCTTTTGATTTGACCAGACTCTAGTGGAGAGGACAGTACTCAGGGCTTTCAGTAGGAATAGGAGCAGGTGGCAGAAAGAGGTGGGAAAAGAATTACTATTCCCATTTCTACAGGACTTTCCTCACAATCATCTTGTAAAGTACACAATGCAATTGTAAGCATAGTTTTTCTCCCTTTTTGGGAATGAACAAACCTGATTCCATTAGTGTAAAGAGTTTCCATAAAGGAAATGTCCCATGCTTATCAGCATTTGCTCAGCAACCTAAGGACCCAGAGAGCCACCTGGGACACTTAAGTGACTTGCCTGGGTCCCACAGCCTTAAGATCATAGAACCACAGCTTTTAGAGCTAGAAAGCTCCGCAGAAACCATAGACCAGGGGTGGGCAACCTGCAGAACAAATCCCCTTGACAAAAGGATTCGTTCTGTGAAGCTTGGATTCAGTCAAAGGGCCGAACTTGAGGACCTAGAGGGCCACATGTGTTCTCGAGGCCACAGGTTCCCCACCCTTGCCATAGACCAACCCCTCATTTTGCAGATGAGGAAAATTGAGACCTCAGAGGTTAAGTATGACCCAAGATGTCAGAGGACTTGAAACCACTCTTTTTAGGTTGGAGACCAACATTACACCATACTGCCTCTCTCTTGGAAAAAAAAATATCGTTTGCTTTTATATTACCAGTATATTGCCTCTCTTTTCCAGATAAAGAAACTGAGTCTCAGGAAAATGATTTGCTTTGTACATGGGGACTTAGTAAGTCTTAAGATTCAAGGGCAGTGTGTGGTCTACAAGAACATAGGTCTTGATTTGTAGTCAGGAAGAACTCACGTCAAACTCTGCCCCAGACACTTAACTTGTGTGACCTTGGACAAATCACTTTATCTGACCCTCAGTTTCCTCATCTAGAAAATGGGGGTAATAGTAGCACCTATCTTACAGGTTTGTTGTAAAGTGTTTTGCAAACTTCAAAGCAATATGGGATCATAGATTGATAGCTGGAAAGGATCTCAGAGGCCAGCTAGTGTAACCTCCTCCAAGTATAAATGTCAACTTTATTATTCTAAGACTTAGCAACGGCAGAATTTTCCCTTTTAAAGCTTCTGTCCAACCCTTTCATTTTACGGAGGAGAGAACAGAAGCCCACAGAGGCAGCAGTGACTTGCCCAGGGGCACACAGGTAGTAGGTAACAAGAGTTTCTGACCCAAATCCAGCTGTCTCCCGAGTGAGAGTGACTCAGTATTTATAGATCTCACGGAGTCAGTACCTTAGTGTAACTTCTTTGAAGAACCTTCATTTTTGTTTACAGGATAAATACAGAGAGATCGAGGGAGGGGGCTAGTTACTGGGAGACTGGAGAGGAAAGGCTTCTTTTTCAGTTTCCTTATCTGTAAATTGGGGGTGGGAGAGCCTGCATTAGATGATCCATCTCTAGTGTCCTCGTCTGTAAAATTGAGAGGGTTGGAGTAGATGATCTCTGAGGTCCTTCCAACTCTAAATTTCTGTGAAATCGCAGTTCCGCCTCTTACTCCTTGGGTGACGGACCCAGGGCAAGTCACTGAACCTCTGTGGGTCTCAGTTTCCTCATCTGTAAAATCAGGGGGTTGGACTACGCTCTCTTCCCGCTCTCGCTCCTGGCTCGGGTCCAATGAGGCTGTGTTCTCCAGCGGCGTCCTCCGAGAGCAGCTCCCTCGCAGCGGGTCTGGGAGCTGGGTAATTCACTCCTGTGGGTGGGATCGGAGGGGAGGAGACGGCAGGGGGATGGGCTGGGGGCGTGGCCACCGAAGAGCCTTCTGCTATCCCGGAAGGAGGAGGAGGAGGCGGCGAAGCGAGATCCCTTCTCACGTGAGAGGCCGCCGATGCCCAGAGAACCCCGTCCTGCTTACTGCAGAGCCTCGGCTCACAAAGTGACCTATTTCAAAGAGCCTACCTGGACCCGGCTCGCTGCATCCCTGCAGCCGGGGCGCCGCGGAAGGTGGGGGGCCCCGGGGGCGATGAAGTGGGACCCTTAGTCCCCCGGCTCCTGCAACCTGGGGAAATCCCGGAGCCTCCGAGGCGGCTCCAAGTCTCCGGCCTCCCAACTTGGGCTCTCCGTCTGTCCGGACCCGGGACCGATCCAGAACCTCTTCTCTCCCTCTCCGCTCTCTCTGCGCCCGGCCAGGCGCTATGAAGTGAGGCCCCGCCCCCGTCCCCTTGCCGTGCCCCCCGCCCCCCCCTTGCCATCATGAGAGCGGCGGACTCCGCCACCTGGGAGAGGGTCAAATTCCTCACGGGCCAGGTAGAAGCGTGCACTTCCTGCGGAGCCGGGAAGGAGCCCGCGGGGGAGCGAGGCTGGGGAGCTAGCCCGTGGGAGTGGGGGCGGGGGACGGAGCCCAAGCCGGAGCCCGAACCCCATCGGGCGCCCCAGCCCCGGCCCCAGCCCCTCGGAGCGCAGCCAGCGGCGCCCACCATGAAATCCAACGGTGACGAAAGGAAGCCGGGTAGGTGGCGGCCCCGGCGCCCAAGCTCCCTAGGGGACCCTTCGGGGGGCTAGGGAAGGGGAACTGGTTGGGCGGGGGAACTGGAATCGGTGGCCCCAGCCGGCCTCGGGGTGAGGGGGGCGGGGGCAGGAGGAGAACGAGGGCTTCCAGGCCCTGGCTATTGTCGAGTCTGCCGACCTACCCCGGCTTGCGCTTCTGGGCACTGATGGAGACAATGCCGCCCGCCGGCCGGCCGGCTGGCTGCCTGGCGGGCCACCCTGGGACCGAGTTTAGGACTACCCCTTCCCCCTGACGGAGCAGATGTTTGCGGGGAGTTCGTGAGCAAAAGTTCTCCCGGCCGCGAACTTGTTGGCGTTGGCCCTGGGAGCGAGGCGATCGGCGCGCAGATGCCCTTCTGTTGGGGAGCGGGAGGCGGCGCAGCGGTGTTTACATTCGGGAGCCCAAGCGAGGGCTCGCAGTTCCGGCGACTGTGCTGGCGTGGGTCTGGGCAGGCTGTCTCAGCGATCGGTGCCGGGCCAGCGAGCTCATCCGCGGGTGCAGGGTGATCCTCCACCAGTGTGTTTGGCAGGTCTCAGGTGGGAGGGTTGAGAGATCCGGAAGGGTGACTGCGATGCACGGTCAAGGCCAAGTACAGAGGCCGTTGGATCATACCTTTAGGGCTGGATGGGACCTTAGAGGTCGTGCAGAAAAGAGCGATAGTTCTGGAGCTCAAGTCCAGTCGTTCTTACTCGAGTGACTCTAGACAAGCCACTTGACCCCTCTGAGCCTCAGTTTGCTCATCTCTAAAATGGACTAAATGACCTCTAAGGCCCTGTCCAGTTCCAAATCTATGAAATCCTCTCATTGAACAGAGGGGGAAACTGAGACCCAGACAAACTACATAGGTAAGAAGTGGTAGAACCAGGTCCTCCAACCCCCAAGCTTAGAGCACAAAAGGAATTGAGATCTGCAAGGGACCTTACCTACCAACTAGGCCAACCCCCTCCTTTCCCGGAAGAAAATGCCAAGGTCTAGACAGAGGAGGTCGGTTTCGGAAGGTGGTCGTAGAGATGGGATTCAAATCCAGCTTCTCGGACTCCAAATTCTGAGTGAGAAGCTTTGCCTTGTGGGTGGATTTCAACTTTGCTGAACCCTGCAGGAGGGGATGTGTTGAAAAGGGAGCTAGCTGAACCAGGAGGGAAGTTAAGGTTACAATAAATCCCAGCATCTACCTTTAGTTAATCCATAAATGATTAAAAAGAGCTCGTTGCCATCAGCAAGCAGGTATCATTGGTGCTCATTTATCTGAAATACAGAAATGGGTGCATCACTTTAGCAGTTGAACTCCTCAGAGAGCAAGGAACACAGGAAAAGAAATTTCAGTGGAGGAGAAACATATGTGCTACTCTAATTGTAGAGTTTTTGCTAATGTGAAACATTTGCCAAAAGCACAGAAGACACATTTTAGCTTTTAAAATGATATCAGTTGAACATGCTTGGACCATGCAGTTACATGGTCTGTTTCCTTCCTATCTCTTCCTTTGGGTCTGATATGATAACTTCTCTAGGTCCATTATGCCTGATGGTACTATTATTTTATATGTAGGAAGTGACTTAGGCCTAGGAGAAGGGAATGTCCAGGGGAGGTTTATAGAAGAATGCAGAATGACAGAGCTGGGAAGGAGTCTAGGACAGAGAATGTCCTAACTGGGAGGGACCTTAGATCATAGACTGTCAGAGCTGGGAGGAACCTTAGATCAGAATGTCAGAACTAGTGGGACCTTAGGATATAGAATGGGAGAGGTGGAAGAGGGAGCTAGACAAAGTCAGACCTTGGGGTGGGAGGGTGGGGATTATGCCTTAGAATCTATCTACTTCAACCCGCTCATTTGACAGATGGTAAAACTGACCCTAGAGAGGTCAAGTTACTTGCCTAAGGTCAAATAGGGAGACCCTGGCCCAGCTGGGACTTGACTTCAGCTCCTCTGACCCCTATGACCAGTATTTTTTTCACCCTGAAGCAAAATCCATGTTTGAAGCTTTGCCTGGTATTTCCAGTGGTGAAAGATTTCCTGGCATTACCAGGGCTTTTAATTCTTTTCTTTCAAGTGAGGGAAGTTAGTTTGGAAGGCCTCAAGCCCTAACCTGTCTGGGCTGCTCTGCTCTCCAGGGATACAGGCCCTAAGACCTCTCTTCCAACTGCAGAGACTAGTCCTATCTGCCCACAGCCAAGCCAGGATTGGCTGCCACATTGTTCTGTTTCTAGGAGCAACTGAAATGCTGGAACACTATTGGTGATTCTGGTGAATCCTGAATGGGACCGTTCCTATGGAAAGGCTGGCTCAGGAGTGGACTTTCCCTGAGAATAGTCACTTCTGTGCCCTGGAGAGACCTCGAAGGAAATTTACGCTGTTCGGACTTTTTTTGGGAGACAGAGGGCAGCAGCGGCCTGGCCTCTTGCAAACGAGCACATCCTCCTGTAATTTTGTCTCCCTCTCCCTCCCTCCCTCCCTCCCTTCCTGGATCTGGCAGGGTTTTGTGATGCCTGTACTAACAAGGAACACTGCAGTAACCTAGGACTGGGCACATCTGCTGTAGTTATTTATGGGGGTGTGTGTGTGTGTGTGTGTGTGTGTGTGTGTGTGTGTGTGTGTGTG